TAATAGACCCCATAGTCAGTGTCCTCGCAGACAACCGCACGATGCGCGTTGAGGACTACGTAGAGGGAGTCCAGGCGTACTTTCGCCTAGAGAAGGATGGGAAGGTGGAGAAAGTTCTCCATTCCCTGACTCTCCTCGTGCAAGATGACCTTCCTTTCGATGTAGTGTCGGGAATGGATTGGGGAGAGGCAGCAGGGGCCACACTCCAGTTGAGAGAGCATGAGTGTAGGTTCCCTAGTCCATCAGGCGAGGCTAAGACTGCCCGTTTGTTCCATGTGTCTGGTGTAGACAACAACACCTTGGCACATTGCTGTCTCAGTGCTCCTGCGTTCGCGCAATTAGTCAAAAAGGAGCAGTTAGAGGAACAGGTCTTTGTAGTTTATGTTAGACCCATCACTGAAGCCCAGGAAAAGGATAGTTCCACATATCCAACAGTTGCCAAGGTGCTGGAAGAATTCAAAGACTTGACTGAGTCGCCGAAAGGAGTAGTGTCGCGACCCATCCAGCACAGGATAGAGATAGAGCCTAGCAGTAGAACTCCTAAGGGTGCAGTCTATAGGATGTTCCCTAGAGAGTTTGAGGAGCTCCGCAAACAGTTAGACGAGCTCCTTGAGAAAGGTTGGATCAGGCCCAGTTCGTCTCCTTTTRGAGCACCCGTTTTGTTTGTCCCCAAGAAGGAAGGAGAGTTGAGAATGTGTATAGACTATAGGGGATTAAATGCGATCACCATAAAGAATGCTGAGCTGCTGCCCAGGATAGACGATCTTTTAGATCGGGTGCAGGGTTGYAAGTATTTCTCTAAGATAGATTTAAAGTCCGAATACCATCAAATAGAGGTCCATCCTGATGACCAGTACAAGACTGCGTTCCGGACGAGGTACGGGCATTATGAGTTCATAGTGATGCCCTTTGGACTAACCAACGCGCCAGCTACTTTTCAGCGTTGTATGAATGACTTGTTTAGACTATGGTTAGATAAATTTGTAGTAGTCTACTTAGATGATATCCTAGTCTTCAGTAAAACCCTCCAGGAGCACCAGGGTCATCTGAGGCAGGTCTTGGTGAAGCTTAGAGAGGCTAACTTTAAGATCAACGCGAAGAAGTGCAAGTGGGCCAAGACGCAAGTCTTATACTTGGGCCACGTGTTGGACGGAGATGGCATTAAGCTAGAGGACAGCAAGATCGCGACGATCAAAGATTGGCCGACGCCCCGCACATTGACAGCGTTGCGGTCGTTCCTAGGCTTAGCTAACTACTATAGRAAGTTCGTAAGGAACTTCTCTACTATCGCCGCTCCCTTGCGCAGGTT